TACTATCATATATTCATCATCTTTATTCTTAAACTCTAGTAAAAGTTGTAATTAAAATTGTGAAATTTTATGTCCCATTTAATATTTAAGGTCATATTTTACACTTTTTAGGTCATATTTGACATAATTTTGGGTCATAAGTGCATGCATATATTTATAGTTTTTAGGTCATAAAAATCTGGGCCCTAATTATTACTGTAATAGCATCAGTTCATGAACTTTATTGCCAGACTTCGTACATTCCTTGCCCACGTCACTTTCATCATTACAGGTTAGTGTTTACAGTATAAATTTCTGTGTTAATAATTGTATGAATTATATGGCTTCCCTAAATTGTTTTCTTATAGCATTTGTCAGTTGGCTAAAATGTCTTTGTGCTAAAGCTGGAATGTATTTTGTGTATCTAAAATGTTCTTCATGGATAGTTGCAGTAGTAGGCAGAGTTTACTGTCTGTCGTTGAGGTACAGTGTGGTGCAGTATCACTCCATCATTGTCATATGCTACAATGAACATCACCTTCACATTAATCTGTGTAGGGCACACTTTCTTTGGACGAGGAGAGCCATGATGCTTCCATTCATTTGATTGTCGCTTCAAGTGTGGTTCGTATGAGCGAGCCCAAGTTTCATCCAGAGTGACGATCCTTCGAAAGAAGCCGCAGTCCCTGATAACAGTTTTGTGCACTACACCCTCGTGCAACTTCAATTTTTATCCAGGAGCGTTGTTCTTGTTTTGTAAACATGTTGTTAGGGTGCTTGAACTGGGCTCCTGCACGTCAAGATGATCCACAATGCAACTCAATGAAACACAACCAGAGCCACTCACTGCACTACTTCAACTGAACTTCTGCTATCAGATACAGAAGGTGCTAGTGCCACCTGACGCACATCTTTCATGTTACAGGAGTGTTGCCACTACTTTTTATCCAACCCTTGTATATTTAAAACTAATGTTATATACTCAGATACACTTATGTAAGATTTGAAGCTTTCATGGCGAATAAGTGTATTAAAATTTTCTTGGGCCATCAGCCATACCAGTGTTGAACTAAAACCTTCCGTTTCAGAGACCTCATCAGTCATCAGAACTGATGTTGTGAAAGACCATATCTTGTTGATTTTTATGCCATTTTGTTAAATCAGTAACTTCCTATTGGTGAATTATTCAGTACAAGATAACACTTGTTCTGTACATTTCTTTGTTGTGATTTTTGAGGGAATTTCTTTTCTAGTAAATTGCCTTTGATGGCAGTAATACTGAACCGACATTATGTGAGTCAGTTGGCAGTTCTTTTAAATCTGTTCATAAGAAAAAATAATAGGGCTTAAAGATTATTGAAATTTGAAATCACATTTAACGATTATCCTACGGTCCTTTAAATTCCAGTTGTGGCAGCCATACGGAATTCTTTAAAGGGCCGCTCTTAGAAATCCGTAAAAGCTGTAGTCACTAAATTTGCTCCTATTTCTGCAATTTCTGTGATAAACGAACGAAATAAACGCTGTTTTTTTCTCTAAAGAATATAGAATCAGATATTGTAATTTACAGATTGTATAAAACATGTTAAAATTTTTGCACTGACACCAAAGGAGAATTTTCGCAGTTTCTTGTTTCTGTGCAAGAATTCATACGTTCTGGACACCCCTGAATGGAAGTTGCTGATGACGACACTTGTGCAAGTCACGGTAAGACCGGATGTTGAGTCTATTAGAGCTTATCGTTGGCTACTACTAGAATGTGGACAGTGGAAGAATGATATAAAGTCACGTGTTGTTGCATATAGAGTTCTTATAAACAATACGTGTACTGTTCTTGTAGAGATGAAGGCTAGCATTTGTTTTATGATATCGTGTTACTGTATGAACACACACCGTAATAGCTTCGTTCCTGGAAGCATTCAGTCGAGCGTAATTTCAAAGTGTGATAGTACCATGACGTAATTCTTGTGGAATGAAGAGTGGGCGAATGGCTCGGCTGCACCTAAGATTACATTTCTTTATACAGTTTCATTACACTGAGTGCTTGGTTCGTAACTGGAAGTGTTCTGTCTAGCTATTCGTCGGCAACCTGGGGACCCCACACCAGCGTGGCACGAGGAGTGTGAATAATTATTCAGGTGGAGCTGTGGGCAAACTGTGCCAAACAGTTATAGCATCTGTTGTCGAACCTGGAAATGGACAAATAAGCTATTTTTCCATCTCCTTGGTCTGAACAGTTACATCCTGTTGTCACACTGAGAATTTCGTCTCGCTCTTTTGCGGAACATGCTGTTAGGGGTCCACCTCGCCATCAACGGCCAGGGGTCGAACCCCTGCCGTTTTATGGGAGATATCTCGACTATAGAAGGCCAAACCACATCACTGGCCGACTTCCTCTACTTCGCAATTGAGGTGTCGTGTGTGCTTTTCGTGTGGGAAACGAAAGACCGTCCGCACAAAGTTCGTGAAGTGCGAAATCGGACTCTGCATTTCCGGATTTTTTTAGAATTCCACACGAAGGCAACATTCCAGCAGATGACGCAGGTGGGAAGACAGACACTCCATGCAGATGGTGGCCAAAAATTATATAAGTAGGACATTATTTTCTACCTTAAAAATGTATTTCAAATAACGTCCGCACGCGCGGACTTTGCGACACCACATGGCGTCATTCGTACCGCTGCCTTTATATCTGCGACGACATACGGTGTCTTTTGTCGTTTAAAGGTTAAGACACGTCAGTTTAAATTAAAATTTTTAAATTTACATTACAGGAGCATGGATCTTCAGTTATGTTAACTGAAGTATTTTCTGTTGTTTTTAGGCTCTGTATATTGATGCAGCCAAACACCTTCCTGAAGAACTGCCCCAAGTGCAGGATCTCATAATTGAGAAAGAGCTTAGACTTCATGTAACACCAGAGGAACTCGATATTCTGCGGGGTAAATCATCATAGACTGAATAGTGTTATCTGAGCCAGTGTTGGTTGTCATGGTGGAGGTGGAGTAAATAGTCAAGATGGTTGTGGTGGTCATCATCACCATGGTGGTGTCGCTGGTGCAGTGTGCAACAGCACACCTCTGATGGTTGCCCTGTAGCCTCAACGGACGTGGTACATGTTCGATAATAAATACATATACATACACACTCCCTGTAGACGATTCTGTCATAGACCACATATAGACAGACACCTCTATGCTAGAAAATTTTAGGGTATGGATACACATCACTAATGCTATACAGACACAAGGTTATCTTAGGATATGTATTGACACCTCTTCCATGCACTGTATTGAGATGCCCCTAAACCAACCTATATTAAGATAAATGCTGGCACCTCTATTATGCTGCAAATATAGCCACATCTGCTCCAACCTATCACAGAATATACAAGGAGACTTTTGTCATGTAGCACAAACAGGTTCCTCTTCTATACCCTATTATAGGGTATACATAGATGCCACTAACATACACTCTATGCAGATGACCCGATACAACCCTATCATAAGGCTTATAAATAGATGCTTCTACCATAAATTTTATACACACACCTCTAGACCAGCCTATTATAGGGTACATATAGTCAACGGCCTATGATATGGTACACAGCGACAGGTCTATCATTCTCTAAATATACACTTCTGTACAGAAGCCTATAATAGTGTGTGTGTGTGTGTGTGTATATATAAAGGGTGTTTCATGGCTTTAGGGCATAGCTGCAGGAGGTGATTTCCTAGGTCTTTGTGATCAAAGAAGTTCATATAAACATGTGTCCGATTTTGGACGGATACGGAGTTATGATCGTTTTTTCGTTCCCATACATGCCCTTGTGTGAACCGCATCTGTCATCTGGCCAGCTACAGACAGATCGTTCTCATTATCTCGACACTTGAGAGGTACCTAAGGCATGGTGGGTTGGTATGTCCGGCCACAGCTAGTGTGGCGGCTACTGGTGTTCAGAACAGTTCTCATCTCGGTGCCTCTGTTACGTTCACGATGCCATTTACATTTTCATTTGAGGAGTATGCAGATATGATTTATGTGTACGGGTTTTGTGACGGTAACTCAGTTCTTGCCATAGCTGAATATCAGCAACGGTTTCTGAATCATAGAATACTGAACCAGAGAGTGTTTACTGGAGTTTACCAGGCATTGCGAGATACAGGTAGACTTCCTGGCGTTCATATTGCAGCCGAGCATGGTGTTAATGAAGGCATCAATGAAGAAGGCATTGTTCATATGGTACACCGCAGTCCGTGTACGAGTACGCGAAGATTTGCCAGCCAGGTCTCCAGACTTAAGCCCACTGGATTATTGTGTGTGGGGATGGATGAAAGAACTGGTTTACAATATGAAGGTGGCAATGCGAGATGCTTTGCTTGGTCGCATTATGGATGCAGCTGACCACATAAGAAACAGCCAGCTGAAGCTGCTACGTGCTACCCGCGCTGTTCACAACTGAGCGGCAGCCTGTGTTGCAGCCAGCAGTGGCATTTTTGAAAATCAGCTTTAAGCACCAATCAGTTCAAATTAAAGGTAATTTCACGAAGTTAACTTTACATTCATACTTTAAATGTATCATGTATTATGCTGGTTTATTATTTTGTTCCGTTTATTGTCAGTAATTGCTACCTTCTGTTCTGAGTTTAAAACGGTCATAACTCCGTAACCATCCAAAATCAGACACATGTTTATGTGAACTTTTTTGATCACAAAGACCTAGGAAATCACCTCCTGCAGTTATGCCCTAAAGTCGTGAAACACCCTGTATATATATAAACATCTTTAACATAGAGCACATACACACATCTTTATGCCAGCCTATCATTAGGCTTATATAGACACTTACACACTAACTTGTCACACAGTACATATGAACACCTCATGTCTAAGGAGTCATACCATTTGTAAAATGATTATGAAACTGCAAAACCAGAGGCCAGAGCCCAAGGGGGCTTGGACGGAAGTGGGGGGGGGGAATATATATATATATATATATACACATAGACATCTTTATGCCAGCCTATCATTAGGTTTATGTAGACAGTTATACACTAGCTGTGTCCACTGTTGGAAGCCGCTACTAAACAATGACGGTGAATACGTGACGTTACACTACTGTGTGTGTGCATGTATGCTCTTGCATGCATGGGCACATGTAACAGTGTACTGTAAAGTGTAGTCACGCACTGTATCAAAAAGTTCATTAAATCTAATTGTCAGTCCAAACCTCATCTTTAGTCACTAAAATCATGACAGTATCTTCTGCTTTGGCTTCCTGTCTATGTTAGGAGATGTAATTTTTGTTGTGAAGTTTAGATAAATTTCATACTGAGGTCTGAAAGATTTTGTGAATGAAATTAAGCCCAGGGATTTAGTGAAGTAATAATGTGTACATACTGTGATCATTTCTGTAACCAAAGAATTTCTACTTATATTCAAAAACAAATTTATAACAAGAGTTCCAGTGTGTGTGAGTGCTGCTGTGTGTGTGTGTGTATATATATATATATTAGTTGGAACATAAGACTAAACTGTGAGCAGAACATATCAAGTGCTAACAAGAGTGTAAGAATGAAATGCTCCAGGCTGGCAAGCCAACCAATGAACTGCCTGCAACATAGTGACACTTCTTGTCAGAGTGTCTGAGAATTTCATATTGTCATGTGTTGGGTGTTTGAGGCAACAAATAACTTCACACCATCTTGGATGTAGTGAATTTATTGCACACTCGCTCTTACATTTACACAGTTCACAATTCCTTCTCCTGCTGTAATCACTGCCATTTACTTGATACAACTCAACTTGTAGCTGCTGGACTTCAACTCATACTGAATATCACTAACTCTCTTATTAGTAACTCCCTCTCTGGTTCAACACTGATGAAATAGTTACGTGATAGCTACCATTGTTGCATGACGTCGTGTTTACCAATTGCCTAGCAGTAGTCTCTGCATGGAGTCGCCTGTTGCGTGAAGTCAGCCTAGTGGGGAGAGGTGTTTACCAAGCGTTGTGTAGTTACGGAATGAGTGCGGTATGTGACGCCACTCTCACTTCCTGTTGCGCAATCCAAGCATTCACATAGTTGTTGCTTAGCAATGCGCCGATACAATCGGCAGCTCTCACATTGCGCACATGCCGTGAGGCCTCTATGGCTCAACAGTTCATGCATAGAGTCAGTACACCACATTATTATTGTGAGGCAGCATGGAATTTCTCCATGCCTTGTAGTCACGAGCCCTAGAAATAGTGTAAATATATACTTTACCTTGTTATTAACAGTACAATATTAAAATTTGAAATACTGAATTATATTTATCTGCGTATATTCATGATCTTGACACTGTAACCGTACAACCCTCACCAATTTTATCTAATTTTATCTAAGAGTCATTTTGTGTTCTACGAGGATGAGAGGCATGAATTCCTTAGATGGGCATTCCATTGTTATTAGTAGATGTGATTTCTGTACCAGACAACCCTCCATTAAGCTTCTAGCCATAATGATTTTCATGGAGGCAGGCTCTTTTGTTTCACCATGGCTGGGATCCTTTCTGTGTCCATACCTGAGTCAATATTATTGGTAATATGCATTCATCACTGGCTCCTGTCATATCTATTAGGAAGAGTATTTTGAGGGACCAGGTCCAGTGTTAGCGGCTAGATGAAATGCACTTAAAACCCTGACTAAAAGCAAACCATGTAATGATAATAGGTGAAGTAAGGATGTAGTGATAATATCACTCCATTACAGAGAAAAGGGTGGATGGGTGACTAGTTGTAAAATCTGACCAGCACTGCTCCAAATGAATTCCACTTAGGAAACGTGCCATAGTATTACCTGGGGGTTTATGAAACAGGTCTTGCCTGGGAAAAAAAGGGGGGACTCATTTGGAGTGATCTGGGCTGTCAAAGAATTGAGGACTTGGCTCAGTAAGAGAAGTTCTGAGATACAGAGAAGAGTGAGTTAAGTAAGTACTCTGAGTTCAAGTTAGAGAATTTAAGAAATTATTGAGTTGAAGTTAGAGAATTGGTTAGCATTAATTAGTGGGAGCTAGTAATTCAGTGTTTTTGGATTTAGTGGAGTGACAAAATTACAAGTGATGCTGTGATCGTCATTATGAGAGTAGGATACTAGTGGGGACTAATGTATGAGTTACGACGGGATCTTGGGGACAGTGTGAAGTCCATGGTCAACGACAAAGTGAGATAGCAAAATGCGAGTACCAGAGGATTCATGTAACCTTCCAGCCATAAGTATACCTGTGCATCATGTAAGCAGAGGAAATACACATTAGTCATTGTGTTGGATGGATTGTGTATTTTGAAACCCCGGAGTGTGTCCCATCCTGGTCACCAAAACAACTGTATCCCTGAGAACATGACCTCGTGTCTATTGACTAACCATCCTGCTGGCGGACGCGTGAAAGCTGGAAGCTAGCATCTTTGTGTCAGCTGCAACACCTGAGTTCCCTGATATGCCCTGATAACTGACAATTGTGACTTTTTAACACTTTGTGGACCGGTGGCATATTTTTATGCCCAGCGCTTTTAAACGTGGCGGTCCGATGGCATATTATTATGACTTTAGGACACGTTATGTTGAAACACACTATACCTTACACTGGCGCCAGGCAGACGCATGACTGGTGCGTGATAAGACCTCTTGAATGTTTGCTTCGTAGTCAGTAACATGACCCCGCTGTTTATGACCCAACTGTTTTCTTTCTTCACTCCAAAAGAAAATGGCTTTGTTCGTCTTCCAGCTGCATGCACCAGGCAGGAAGTTACTAGTGCAAAATGGATCAAGGTCGGAAGAGGTTGAGGTCCAAGCGTTTTCTCGGAGAACAAGAAATATCTGACTTGTTCTCTGATGAGCTATCTGACGTCCCTTGTGAGTCTGCTAGTGATAGTGACTCACAATCTTATAGTGAGTGTGGCAGGGGCGAACAAAAAATTGTGGCCACAGACAGTGAAAGTGAAAGTGACAGTAGCTCTGACGATAGTGCGGCTAGCAACATTGCGGGGAGAGCCACATGGGGAAAACTAGACAAAACACCTGCTTTGGGACAGTTTACTGGAAATCCTGGGGTGAAGCAAATTCCATTGGACCCAACACAAGTGTCTGAAGTAACGGAACTGTTTTTTGGAGATAGTTTCTTTGACACACTATGTCAGGAAACTCAAGTGTCTGAAGTAGCGGAACTGTTTTTTGGAGATAGTTTCTTTGACACACTATGTCAGGAAACTAACAGATACTATCTCCAACACCATGAAAATTATGACAGAAGTTATAAGGCGTTGAAGTGGGTGGATGTCACTTCAGCAGAAATGGGAAATATTTTGCAATCATCTTTCTAATGGGCCATACAAGGAGGGATAATCTGAAAGAGTATTGGTCAACAGATCCATTTTTAGAAATTCCAATTTTCGGCAGACTAATGAGCTGTATGAGATCTGAGCAAATTAATACAAGGCATTTCTGCTTAATGTGGCAAAAGCCTGGGCTACAGACCACACGATGGCGGCAGAACCGGCAGAACGTGTGCCTACATAGTAAAGAATAGCAGCGGCATGCACACAGGGAGACTACACAAAATAACACCTGTACAGTGCTGGAAACAAGAACTAGCCACTACAGCACTATAGACATAGGGCGAGTAACCCTGACAATTTTAAATTTTAAAATTTAGAGAAAAAATTTAAAGGATTTTAAAATTATAACTAAAGATTTTATAAGTGCTAACGTGTGTAACAAAAATAATCTATAAATCAGACAGGTATCAACGAAGTAGGTGTTGATAATAACAACGAAAGGAAGAATGTGTTTTTAAATGTTAAATTTTAAACTAAGTGCAGTGTAACAGCAACGCGAGTGTATACACCTGATGATGGCCGTTTGAGGCTGAAACATGTAGTTTAAAGGAGAGCAAGATCAAGGACATATAACATATTGTTTGCACTTGGGATGGAGTTCATATCATTTATAGAAAATGGAGTCTGAGTACTCCTCTGAAATAATATCCTGTACCACTCTACTGTCATAAGCTAGAAGATCAGAAGATCGGCTTCTAAGCCAGATCAGTGCCTGGCAAGTCAGGGTCCACCATACAGACTCTCACTCTTATACACTGTTTTCATTAATATACAAATTGCGCAGTTCCATGTATGAGCCTTCTAATCTTAGAATCAGAACATTTAGGTTGATTAATTCTGTAAGGTCAGTATTCTAGACCCTACCATACAGAAAATCTTGGTTTGAGGATGAGATACTGAAGTGTGCTTGCAGGTAGCACAAAAATTATTGTTGCATGTAGACTGTTGCTAGGCAATAACAGCAACACATCAATACAGCAGCCGTTGTGAGGCAGCAGCCCGCGCTCAACATTGGAAGTAATGTTGGAAGCATAGTTTTCCTATGTGGCCCACTCCAAAGCTATATCACACGACTGAGTTCAGTTAATGCAGTGTGGTGGAGTGAAATGTGTTAGTTGGTGAGCAGTCAGAACTACTGAGGTTCAGTCGTTAATGAGCGGTTGCTGCTAGAAGCTGGTAGCTGAGGCATGGGGATAGTTTGTGAACCCACAGTATGGGGAACATCTGCTGTTGAAAACCATTACCAGGGAACAACCAGTGAAGAGACAGACTGAGAAGATTTCGTGCTGTAGTGAATTGTAGAGTGTGTGAATTGGCGATAGCACTATAGTTAGTTAGTTATTAGAGAGGGTGGGTTTCCCCATGCACTTAGACCTGTAATGGTCCATTGTGCTTCCCTCTATGATTTCTACCAGCCTCTATATCCTACCGGTATTGGTGCTTACCATCAGTCCCGCCCAGCCAGCAAGACCGACTCTCTACTGGCTGAGAAGTATCTATAATGCTTCCCCCATCTACCGGAGATATTAGTGACTGCTGTTGGGCGGGAAACATCCGCAATTTTGGCTCAGTGACCTCCTTTGGAGGTATGAGGTTCTTTTATGTGCCGTAAAGCTACGACACGGGACCCACGGCTTAAAGTCCCTCCCAGAGGACTTGTTCCCTGAATTTTTCTGCCCTTAAAAATTCGATGACCTCCGCCAGGTATTTGAACCCGCGTACTATGAGTCATGAGGTGGGAACGTTACCTCTAGACTACGGAGGCCGCTTAGCACTATAGTTACTTGTAGTTAAGATCTGTGAGTGGTCAGTGAATCCAGTTACCAGTTACATGTGACAGTATGTCACTGTACAAGTGTGAAAACTTTGTATCCTACAAGTGAAACATGGATGTCTTGGATGGTGGTTTTCCACATTCATAAAGACATCAACGAAGTGAAGAGGAATCTTACTCCTATTGGTAAGCCAGTACATCCTGAATACCATGAAGTACATGGATTAAATGACTTAAATGTGCTTTCCTTCAATTTTGTGGTACTTAACTTAAAAGCCATACACTTAACACTGATAGCAAATGTATTTGTCGGAATTTATATGTAGGTCGTACCGAAAGTCATGAGCAACTTTTTTTGCAAGAAACCTGGAAACAGCAGATGAAAGAGAGTATGGTGGTAGGTGGAACCAGCTGTTGTGTTAATCTTGAGTGTCTTGTGACGTCAATAGCTTGCATTACGTGACCAGTATCACTCCTAACAAAATGGCCGACAACGATATGGTGTTTCGCCAGCGTGCTGTCATAGAATTTCTTGTGAAAGAGGAAATCCCTGCTGCAGAAATTCACCAGAGACTTCCGCGTGCTTATGGAAGTGTGTGCATGGGTGCGAGCAGTGTTCGAAGATGGGTGAAAAATTTTAAAGATGGGACACCAGCATCGAAGATGAGCCTCAGAGCGGTCGTCCTCCAACAGCCTCAACTGAACGCAACAAGGAAAGGGTGGATGAGATCATTCAAGATGACAGGCGTGTGACTGTGGACACAGTAGCCCAAAAACTTGGAATAGGGCACAGTGCAGTACAGGAGATGATCGAAATCTTTGGCTATAGGAAAGTTTGTGCTTGTTGGGTCCCGCGGTTATTGACCAAAGACCACAAAGGTCAGTGAAAAGCCATCACCTCAGAACTGCTGCAGAGATATCGACATGAAGGCGATGATTTTTTGCTCTGTATTGTGAGAGGTGATGAAGCTGGTTTCACCATTTCGAGCCTGAAATGAAACGGCAGAGTATGGAATGGCACCATTTGCATTCTCCATCAAAAAAGAAGGTAAAGACAGTGCCATCAGCTGCGAAGGTGATGGGCACAGTCTTCCGGGATGCAGAGGGGGTTATTCTGGCCGAATTCCTGGAACCTGGGCAAACCATCAATGCTGCTCGTTATGTCCAGACGCTGCACAAGCTCCGTCGTGCATTGCACGATAAACGTCCGGGACAAAACATCATCATCCTGCATGACAACGCTTGCCCCCCACTGCTTGCCTCACACTGGAAGCAATTGCAAAGATGGAGTGGAAAGTTCTTCCACACCCCTCCTATAGGCCTGATCTGGCACCCTCTGACTACCATCTTTTCGGATTTATGAAGGATCAGCTGCATGGACAAGGTTTTGAGAAAGGGAGACAATTCAGAAAGCAGTGTGTCAGTGTTTTTGGATGGCTGGAACGGAATTTTACAGAAGGGGAATTTTCAGACTCCCAGAATGCTGAGAGAAATGTGTACGAAGAAGTGGCGATTATGTGGAAAAATAAAGAAAGGTCTGTAGATTGAGGTGGTGTATTTGGTTTGTCACTAATAAAGCATGTTACTTTACAAAAAATTGTTGTTCATGACTTTCAGTGCGACCTTCGTAGTACTAATGTGTATTGTACACAACTAATTATAGTTTTATAAATGTATGGTCTGAAGGTAGAAGACAGGTTTATTTTCAGATGTGGAGAGGATTGCAGATCCATTGGACGAGAGCTCAGACTGTCAGGAACCAGCCACTGGTCAAAAGTAGCTAAGGTAGTGTTGAGACTGAATGCAAGAGGTGATCATTTTATTGCTGTTAGTAGAAAGAGTCCAGTAATTGTATATGTGACTGTGGTTAATAAAAAAGAATGAACATCATAAGCATTACACATGTAAGAAAAAATTAAGACAGAATTAACAAAATATATGTTATTTTTATTTTTAGGTGTGACAGATAATGTTCTGTCTTCCAATTATGCTATTAGACCAATGAACTCAACTGCAAATGTAATTGAAGTGAGGCAGAATGTGCAGGGGGGTGAGACAGCCATAGCTTTTACAAGATGTAGAAAAGGAAATATAATGAGCTTTAGTGGAAAATAGAAAAGTTAGGAAGAATTCACATGTTCATAGGAAGGAGTAGGAACATGCTTTTGATGAGAGAGTACCAGAAATTAGTGATGCTTGTGCATGTAACTGTAGCAGAAAATGAACTGTTAATATTAAAGTGGAAGAAAGAAAGTTAAGAGAGTTTTATGCAATGTATGTGGTCCATGTCGTGGCTATATAAAGAGAGTCTGTAGCTAAAGGAATGAGAGAATTGGAACTGGGAGTTGAGAAGACTGAAGAGAATGGGAATACAGTGGTGTACAACAGAAAGAGAGTTGAGTCAGTTGTTGGTAGGATATAGCCACGGGAAGTGAGTAGTTTGAGAAGAATTAGAAATAGGCCTGTGAAGACTTTGTGTGCTGAAGTACAGTGATATCTGGAGTGTGTCTGTGCTAAAATCCATTGCCAGGAAATGGATAATGAAAACATTGTAAAGGCATCGCAATTCTTAGGACCTGTTAACCCAGCAACAACTAGTGAAAGCAGATATAGAAGACTTTATTTTGGGTTTCATAGTTACAGTAATTTTTAAGGGTGTGTAAACTAGTGAGACAGTTGTAGTTATGACCTGTGAATGTTCAATGAATGTATTCACCAATGAAAACCCAATGTAAAGTCACTAATACATGTGACAATACTATTTTATTTTAAAAATGTGTAAGGATTGCCTGGCGTAATGGTGCTTACAGGTACAACCCAGGTATAATATGATGTGTTCTTGTTTCAGTTACAAATTCACATTATTGAAATAAGGCCTGAACAATACAGTGATGGGAATGGACTTCATGAGATGTGCCCAGAACTCTTGGCATTGTAGTGTAAGCCTTGTGTAACAGTGTTGTGTAATGCACAGGAGTGCTGGTTCTAAGCAATCGTACTATTGTAAGCCTTTGTTTAATTTTTGCTTCTTCTGTTCGCAGTGCTAGTGGATGAATCCTTTTAATGGTGTTCAGTGAACATTGTGTTTTAAGCCTTTAAATTTTGTTTCTTAAACTGTTCACAGTGCTAATCTGTGTTCCTTATTTTACGTCTGCAGTGAACATTTTATTGTAAATGTTTGTTGAAACATTACTTTATACTCGCATATGTTCACAGTGCCAATGCATGTATCATTTTTGGGGGATACAAAGAACATTATATTGTGTTTAAATGATGCTCCTGGTTACCTTCAACTCTCATACTGAGGCAGTATTCAGTGGTGTTATAACCATGGTCTTAGAATCGATGCCTATGCTAATTTTACTGATTGCTTCTCTCGGACAGGGTTGAAGAAAAATTTTAGGCCTATAACTGAATGGTCAACATTCATGGAAGCCTCATATAATTTTTTTTACTGACTAGCCTGAATTCGGTTTGTTTTATAGTGAGAAGATTATATCCAGTTCGTAATATCCAAACCTTGACGACTGTTTATTTTGCACATTTTCACCTTTTGGTTAATTATGGAATAGTATTTTGGGGTAACACTAGTTCACTAGTTCCATGTGTAAGGTGTTCCTAATTAAAGAGAAAGGTATTAAGAATTATGTTGAGATTAAGTTGACAGAGTTCCTGCAGAAAGTGGTTAAAAATTGGAGATTTTACCTGCTTCAGGTTTGTATATATTTATTCATTTATGTCTTTTTTTTTTTGCCTTAAAAGTAACACTTCCGTTAATGACATTAATACAAGATGTAAGAATCAATTACACATACCTTTAGGTAGACTTTCTGCTGTCCAGAGAGGTATTATATTTTCTTCTATTAAAGTATTCAGTAATTGCCACCTAGTATATCTAGATTAAAAAATGTTGAGCAATTTTTTAAGTCTGCTTTAAGGAATTATAATCTAGCATATGTCTTTTATTCTACAGAAAAGTTTATATCAAATTATTAATTCTTTTTATAAAAGGATGTTTAGCTTTTGTAGCCTTTTCTGTTGTCTATTTCTTAAGCACTGATACTCGTATTTTATTATACTAGATTCTGTACTTACTTTGTCATTTATGTATTGTGTATATATTATTGTTTAATGTCTCGTTTGCTCAAGTTGCATTGTACAATGTACATCACCTGACGTGTTTCATATTCACATGTGTATGGGCTAATGTTGGATTAATGAAATGTACGTATATATGTGTGTATGTAAAATGTCAGTCTTTTAGGCATGTAGCCAGAGGGATGAGTTTCAGCTCATATTCTGGAACCTGGACGTTGTACGGTCTGAGGGAGGTGGCTAACCGAAGAAGGAAAACATAGTCACACTGACACTGGAAAGAATGAGGTCATCCTCATTTTGTGACAACCAGTACAGATGAAACTGCTGATGAAGGCAGAATGTCATTCAGGGCAAGGAAATGTTTTCAGACTAACAGCTCTGTGAAATAAGTGAAATTTATTTTGAAAATACCTGTGTTGTCTTACAGTAGTAATGGTTAGGTATATAAGTCAAGGGTATACAGTGATAAACTAGGAAATTGTGAGTGTATTTTCTTCAAAGCCACATGAGTAGTGAGTGAGTTGTATTGTATTCTCATCACATATGCCAGAGACTTCTTGAGTATGGNGAGCGGCCCTTTAAATAATTCCGTACCGCTCACAAAGCCTAAGTTTAAAGGGCAGTAGGATAAAGGTTAAAGAGCAGTAAAGTGGTGGAAATGTGGCAAGGAAATTTCTTCATTCAGAAAAGGAGAAATTTTGCGTTGCATGGAGGAGCAGAGGTTTGGTTATGGTGTTCAGTACTGTTCACACAGGAAGCACCAATAAGGTGACAGAAGTGAAGTCTTGAATAAGGAACTGAAGTCTTGAGTAAGGAACTAAAGTTGCCATAATGAAAGCAAATGTGTAAGGTACACTAAAAATATGGCAGGAGTGAACCACAGTGGCTAGTACATGACCTGTCAGTTCATGAGGAGAGTGCAGAGGCACAAGGAGTATTCATCTGGCTTGTGACAGTGAGTGTAGTGAATTCATTCTTGCTGCATGTTTTGATGCTGGAAGGATACAGAGACAGATTGTAACTGAGAAGTTAGGCAAAGTGTTGTTGAATCCCGAGTTCATTAAAGAAGTGTCATTGGTGGAGGCTGAGCAAAGCAGGCTATCCAGTGGCCCACGTGAAGAAAGGTTAAATGGGGAGCATCAGTTCAGCAACATGAAGGAAAGAGGACAGTGGACAGTGTGATGTGTAAAGGGAAGAAACTGTGGAAGGAGAAGATGGCTTTGTGCAAGGCTTGCAGAAGAAAGCAATTCATGCATGCATTCAAATGCTCAGAATTGTACCACACCTGTGGAGCTAACCATGTTCCTCCAAAAGCTACACATCTACCTACAGGAGTGGACAGTGTCACATCCCAGAAGACTTCACCGTGAGCATGCAGATTGTCTGGGAATAGATGTGAGAGTTTGTGCTACTAGTAACATACAATGTGATAAAATGTATCTATGTTCTTAGTGTAGAAATTGTGAATCTAACATGTGGTGAAGGATTCCCGCCTGAAGAGTGTGAAATGAGGAGGCTTCTTTTTGCATATGTAGGAACTGAAGTGATTGTGTGTAGAGTGACAGATATGTGGGGAGGGTAATAAACTGAGAAAGGAGTGAAGCAGTGACATGCGTGCAACTTTTGGAAGGGGCAGTTCAGTTTAAGGACTTTGCGTCACGTGATCGCACAGTGCCGCTAGCAAATGGAAAGATTTTAATAGGTAGGTAATGTTTTGCCATGTGCAATCAGAATTCTAATGTATGTGTCAGTATTCTGGTCCACAGTGAAGATAAAATTGGTGGCATTAATTGAACTGTTACTTTGTGTGTTCACAGGGGTGTTGTGTGTCATTGGGTCTGGAAGGAAAATCATGATGCTGATGGATCATCGGGTGGTAAATTTATAATAGCATATTCATTGAAACATTTAAAAATTTCAGGGTTCCAAACCCTGCTCCTGACCTAACTGAATAACTGTGCCAATGAATATTATACTGTGTGGAGATTGATAATATCTTAAATATAACAGTGACACTGTACACATATTATGGCATTATGCAGCCCTCCAATGGTATAACGTTATGACGAGAAATCTTCATTATCAGTGAAATCGTTTCCTTCTTTCTCGTGAATGATGAGAGACCAATTAGGTGAATGCTTGGCATTTGTTTCGCTCGAATTTCCCTTTCTGGATAGGAAGTAGAATAAAATTGTACACGAAAATGGGTAAAAAATAGGTTGAAAAATTACCGTCCTGTAATGGAACTGATAATGGAATATTTCTGTTTCAGTCATGTTAAGCGGTTGGCTGCCTTGTCACTGTGAAGTAAATATCCGGTGTACAACATGAAGGTATGTTTCTTTCCTGGTATGAAGATGTGTTTATAAATATTAAGACGGTGTTATGTGTGTATGTTTATATAGACATATGTGCCAGCTGTGATTAATTATCTGCCTGAATGTATATCTTATAAGATTCAGTGAGATAGTGCAAATGGTAAGCTTTAATGTGAGTATTATCCTGGACCGAGTAATGGCGAGTGCACGAAACTTTACAAACTTGTGTTTTGTCTGTTCCACAACGAAATCGAAGTGTTTTCCCTCTGAACCATTGAAGTGAAGTATGTGTGAAGAAAGAATACACCGTAACGTACATTAATTGATTTAACGGAAGTAGGTGAATATAAGAATAGTGGGTGTGTAGTGAAAGACAATGTGTGTTTGAGGTTATTCTTGCACTATTATTAATAGTCTCGTGTGAAGTATGTACAGTGATTTGCACAAAATGTATGTTAGTGGTTATATGGATAGAGAGTGAATTAGATTTTATGAGGGCATATGTGGTATGTAGCCCCTGAATATGACAGGTATGAGTACGTTATTAGTGAGAATGATATACTTCTTTTTCTTTTGCATTAGTGTGCGTACTTGTTAGAAGAGGGTGCGAAGTGAATTTCTAGTTCCCATTGAAGAATTTATTTTTTGTATTTA